TTCAGTTTTCTCCGACGATGAGATAGGATCTTCAAACGTAGGAATGTAAAGAGTGACGAATATGTGAGTGATTTTGTGCGAACCATCTTTAGCCTAGGCGATAATGCCAAGTCAAAAGCCCGGAAACTAGAACGACGCATCAAAAAGTTCGTCGATGCCGAGTCAGCAGTCATTTTTAATCGAACATATATATATATATATATATATATATATATATAAATCATCCATAAACGTGCAAGATTTCCCATTGACGCAAGCATCGAAAGTATAGGTCTTCACCGGTTGAGTACACCCATGGGTACCCATACGAAAGAGCAATGGGTTGGGCTAGGAACAGATTTTGGGAGAATGATGGTTGCGTATGCGCACGTGGTTAAGACGTTTACCAGATGGTGGGTACATGGTTTTTGTAAAATGCTACACAATATTACTGTTTGCGCTTCTTTTAGTAATGTTTGTCTCTATTTATCTTTTTTCAAAATATCGGCGCTCTTAGGAAATGAAGGGTTCAAAGTTTCCGGAAACTACTGTTAAAACTGAAACTGAAAAGGCCTCTTACCCAAAACTTAGACATGGTCTGTGAATAAACGCTATGTGGCTGGAAGCAGCTGCTCTACCGATGCCAACGGCGCCACCTCTTTGCTCAGCGAGGCAAGCGGAAATCAAAACTCAGCGCTTTCTACTTCGATGCCCTGAGTGCGTAGAGCAGCGTTACACGGGGAATGTGTCCGCGGGATCCATGAGTCTGGAACAGCTTAAAAATGCTTAATAGCATGTACTGAACACCGCTGAGACACCGAGCCGAGCCGCATGTCGTTGGTAGCGACACTGCCAGCGCCAATGGCGTCGCCTTTTCGCAAAGCGAAGTAAGTGGGAAGTAAATGTGCACTCACCAACAAGGTAAGTTTAAATTATGGGACTGCCTAGGATGAGTGCCTAGATGACTGCCTGCCTGATGACCGGACTGCCTGGACTGGACTGCCTAGATGAGCCTAGCTGCATAGCCAAAGTGCGAACCCGGCATCTAAATATCTGAGATACACGCGACATCTGAGGTCGACAACCCAAATCCATACCTGAATGACGAGCATTCCAAAAACGGCATGCACACAAAGAGAGTGCATGGTGAAGCTGCCGAGTCTGTAACGCGCCGCGACTCGACACAGCCCTCCCGTCACGATCTCGACTGGTGTCACGTCGCCGAGCCGGCCATCAGCAGGGCAGGCAGCAGTGCCCAGATACCAGACTGGCGACCAGCTGCGCATTTCCCTGGTTTATCAGACAACACGTGGGAACCCGAACATTCGTCCGAGCTGCGGGAACTCCAACGGAGCGTCAAACTCTGCCGCACTCGGCTGTGCATGAACGGCGCCAACGCGTGGGGCACAGACACCTTGAACACTGAATCCGTACATCAGCGACGGCGAGAGGCGCATTAACGTGACAGCATCCGGGTACATGTGTGTGTACCGGGTACATCCGGGTACATGTGCTCCATTCCGTTATGAGTTGTAGGTACTCCACTGGTGTCTGTGCGCTTTATGGTCCACATTTATAACACAAATTAGAGATCGCCACGTAGAACTGATGGAAATGTAGAGGGCGATATTGTTTTATACCATGAAAGGGCTTTCGAGGGCTTTGAATATAGTTTTGTTTTTAGTTGTGCTTCTCTATTCGCGAATTCCTGTACACGGCGCTAAACACAGCAGAGGTTTCATTTTTCGGCACCCTCGTGGGACAGTTTTGACCTTGACCTGATGGCCCAACTTAAGAGGAATGTTCCTGTTTCAGGGGCAGCCTGTTAAAAGGCAGTCCATAGCCGTTAACCCAACCTCGCGGGTGCTGGTTAGCAGAGCGTTGATCCCGCGGCAGGGCAATCCCTTCCAAGTTCCTGGCATCGCCTGGTTAGGAGCCGGTCGGGGAAAAACCCACCGAAGTTGGCCTTGGACCATGGACGTCCATTGGCATTCGCATTAACCAATGACGCCATGGGGCGGTCGTTCAAACTCAGAATCACCGATCTTAACCGCAGTCTAGGCCTCAGCTCCAGATGCAAGTCATATTGAAAGCAGACCGGACGTGGGCCCAAGGATTCCGGGATTCTGGAAAGAAAGGTTGCTCACTGGCCACTGACTTTTTCTTGAAGCCATAATGTGATCACGCACGACGCAATTAAAGAATGCGATCGGGAAAGCAGTCAAGCGACAATGCATCCATTCATAGCACACTTTGAAACGGCAATGGCCTCGTCAACAAGACCATCCAAATCATCAGTGAAAGTGACATCCAAGCAATTTTATTCCTATCCGTGTTGAAATTTATTTCCACCCGGCCTAAAGCGGGCTCATTACTGCACCTACGGTTGCGCAGCCCAACGTACAACAAATTTTCCTTTCTCATCATGTCTCACCATGCTCAGGATCTCGGCTTGAAATGTGTTTGGCACTTCTTCGCAACCTCCAAGGAAAAGGCCCGTGCGACGAAGATGGAGGCATCAACAGATGCCTGACAGCTTGTGCAAGTTTGTAAGGCCCAGATCAGGATGAAATACTGGCGGCACAGGATATGTTTCGCTTCGGCTCTGACCACACGGCAAACTAGTGAACACACACACACACACACACACACACACACACACACACACACACACACACACACACACACACACACACACACACACACACACACACACACACACACCACACACACACACACACACACACACACACACACACACACACACACACACACACACACACACACACACACACACACACACACACACACACACACACACACACACACACACACATACACGTTCATATATATATATATATATATATATATATATATATATATATATATATATACGCTACGTGCACAGCTCATGAAATGTTTCACTTAGTATGCCCAGCTGTGCACAATACGGAGAGGAACACATTTGCGCGCTTTAGTCTTAACTATCGGCCATCCATATGCATGCACACCGTCTTCCGACGAAAAATCGTGTTTTGTTCTGTAACTTGTGTTGCCTAACTTTCCGTTTCATTTCCATTCGTTGGCATAGGGTCTCTTAGTTTATGTGACAACTGATGTAGCCCGCAAAACGAAACAACGCTTGGAAAACAGGTTGCGAAAGGCACAAGCGCTGAAGAAAACGCGCAGACAAATGTTTTAGCGTTGATGGAAACCACATTTGGTTCCCTGCAACTGGAATGCATCCTCGTTGCAGTCATATAGATGAGCATAACTGCTCGTGCTTTCAAAGTGATCCCGTGAGGAATGGATACAGCGCGAAACATTGAGTGTGACGATCCGGCTATGCAGCACTCAGTGTGCAAAATAGATAACCAAGGGTTTAAACTTGGTGTCTTCCTTTTAAGCTTGTTAACCTACTTCACATCATCCGACATGAACAGGTGATTTGCGACGGGAGTTATATGGTAGAAAACAACACCGTCGCAATATATTTTGACTCCTTGTATAGATTACTTGTGATGGATGATGGGTACATAAGCTCAATCGAAAGGTATTCCCTTATTTAGACATTGTGCCGAAACTCCAGCTAATTTCAAATTCACGGTCACGGTCATCGGTGCAGTGACCCGATCGCACCCGGTCACAGTCCCCGATGCAGTGAGCCGAGCACGCCCAGTCACCCGATACCAGACACTCGGCTCATGTCACGTCGTGGCGCGTGATCCGCCGAGGCTGAAATTTTATTTACGTCCAGTCTAGGAAAAATCTTATCGATTTATTCTTTAGATTGTACGCCAGTAACTTTGTCTTTAATTGCATATCGATTTAAGAAGTAGCGGGCACTACCTCAAATTTAGCACGGGCTCGGGCGGAAATCAAATTGACCCCCGAAGGTTTTCCCAAATGGTTTCCTCACGGCAAGGCGTAGCCGTGCAAAATTTTGCATAGCTTTAGATATTTGAATAACGGATTGTTTGGCGTTAAACACTTATATGTACCTTGTTAAGTTGCTGACCTATGGCAGGTCAAAGTCAGGCCATGGATTCTGCGAAATCAATCTCCAGCGAATCGCTCAAACTTTTGCAACAACGGAGTGTTAGACGCAGTTATACATGCTGACATACTTTCTTACGCAACACAACAATTGAATCAACAAATTCCATTGATCTTAGATCAGGTACGAAACGTCAGACCAAGGTCAAAACCAACCTGTTTTTTTTTTGCTCTAGGGCTTTCTGCATGTGGTAGCTTTTAGTGCTCACTTCGAATTTATTGGTAACAGGAACCACATTATGCATCTTCAATGGACTTCCTAATGGTCAAATAAGCTCACTGACCTAAAGTGACTCAGGTAAACGATTTTTTTTAGGAACATCCTGCCTAGCGTAATCTTTGTCGCTTATTCAAATGCAAAACTCAAAACAGTCTTCATTGATTTTGGTTTCCACGACCTTCGGAAGGGTCAAAAAGGTCACTGACGTTGAACGAGCGTGTGACCTTTTGCTTAGAACAGGTTGCTAGGTTCTAGGGGCACTTTGGAGACCAGACTGGGGTTTGACCTTATTTGACTCGAAGACTTTGACCTAGGAACCTCAGGCTTTATCCTAAATGAATTTAAGTACAGGCCAACACACTCTGTCAATTTGATGTCTAAGTTTAGTGCCTGAGATCTAATGGGGTTAAATTGTTTCCCACCCGAGCAAAGAGGATTGAACCGGCCACCCGGGCGGGTGTGAATATATAAAACTTCAATGACATGTTCTCTTATGCTTCAGAAAATACAGTTACTTAACGTTCCAAAATACAGGGTGCCCCGAAATTGATTCGCGGTTGGGGCTGCCATTATTTCCTCGTTCCCGAACGCTGAGTGAGTGGATTTTTACCTCGCTCGGCCCCCGGGGCGTCCTGCAGTGCCAGGCGATCACGTGACTATGGCGGCGGCCTGACCTCGACCGGTAGCGGGCGAGATAGATCATTCCTTTCAAAATAGCCGACGCGTCGAGCCCGCGTATCGCCAGTGGTGAAAGAGCACAAGCCTTCGATCCGCTACCGCGCGCTGTGGATGGTCAAGGGCGGCATGACCCAGGTTCAGGTCGCCACGGACTAGGGCGTCAACGTAGCGACGATTAGACGCTGGCTGGCCGCGACCGCTCAGGAGAGACGCTCGAAAACCGGACAGGCCGTGGGCGGAAGTCGGCCTTGAGCCGAGTGGCGAAGATCGTCATTGCAAAGTAAGTCTTCAAAAGGCGCTACTCGACGAGAACCGTGACGAGAAAACTGACGGCGAAGAAGCACCCAGTTTTCAAGTCGGCCGTCCACCGGTATCTGAAGACCAACCTGCAACTGAAACCGCTCAAGCTCAGACTGCAATCAAGGCTTACCTTGGACCAGAAACGTAGGCGACTGGAATTCACCAACGCCCGCAAGAACTGTTCAGATCAGGGCTGGGGACACGTCCTGCCGCCCTTCGAGCTCTTCCAAGCCTCTTACCGCCAGAACGACCGAATCTGGGCCAACGACAGCTCGGAAGTGCCGATCGCCAAGACAGCAAAGCAGCAAAAACAAAAAGCTAAAAAATCTTAAGTCTTGTCTGGGGCATGATTAGCTACATAGGCCTCTCTGAGCTACACCAAGTCCCGCGCGGGCAGACCATCACCGCCGACTACTGCGTCAGAGAGGTGCTGGAGAAGACCGCAGACTCGGTGGTGCGGCGAAGGAAGGAGAATGACCGGCCAACCAAGACCAAACCCCTGCCAGACATGTCGAGAGACGACACCACAGCTTATCACGCCGGGAAGACCAGGACTGGTGCCCCGCCGACTTCCTGGGTTTCTGGGAGAAGGGTACGTGGCCAGGCAACAGCCCCGGCGTGTCGCCGATCGAAAATCTCTGGGCGATCGTCAAGGAGGAGCTCAACAAGATGTCGCCGACCACTTTAGAGGAGACCCTGTTTCAAAATGTGCAAGCGGCGTGGCAGAAGGTCGAGACAGAGCCTCTGGACAATCTTATGCGCGGCATGCCGGAGCGCCTGCGGCAGTGTATACGTCTGCGTGGGGATCACATTGGCAAAAAATCATGACCCCCAATTATCTTCTTTGTTAGTGAGGACGATAAAACTGCGCCTCAATTTCGGAACACACTGTTCTCTTCGCACACATATTCCAAATACTGGTATCACCGGAGCAAGACGAAAAATAGAGTTGGTGACATTATCGTGCATTGATAACGTACTGCTGGCTCGCCTTTGGTAGGCGTTACGGCTCTTGGGCTTCAGAATCGTGCTTTGAATGTATATTAATTTCATAAACCCGTCATCGTCAAATTTGAAGCGAGTGGTGTGTTATCCTCCGCTGGCATTGTCGTGGAACGACTTGCCAGCTCACATGTTCAAAAGTGTTGCATCCTTGTTGACAAGATTCTACATTCTGAACGAACGGTGAACGGTCACCAGCAGAGGGCCCTTTGGTAACCCTTTGCCCCCCCCCCCCCCCTCTTCCGAGACGTTGAGTGCGCACCAGGGGGGACCAGATGCGAGCAAAAGGCAGACCAAGAGGGTTGCAAGACGGAAAACAACATGGAGTTAGACAGAGTACAACAGAGGCTCAAGAGGGAGGGCAAAAGGAAGAACAAGAGGGGGGGGGGGGCATGAGCAAGATCTCACTATGAACAGCTACAAAATCACTTAACACCCAGTAAAGCGTGCCGCAGACCCATCAAATCTTCTGCGTGTTGAAAAACCAGCATTGATGTGGAACATCATCTTAAAATGTGGAACATTCCATTTGGCATTATCTCAAAATGTGGAACATTGTCTTAAGATGTAAAAATGTTAAATATTCCATTTAAAGCAAATCAAATGAGTTGATTATCACGCATGACGAAATAACCTCACTTATAACCAATGGTACAGGGAAAGGAGTAAACGCACTGCCATTTGGGAAACACCGCACACCGCAACATCAGAAATATTTGATACCGCACATCACCAACTAACGGCCTTTTTCGACCGTGATGCAGATGAGGAAGAAAGGGCACCGGGCCGCTCTGATTTAATGGGATGTTGGAGCTCGAATACAGTGTTCTTTGCCATTGCATGTAATGATATTGAAAGTGGAACACTTTCGGCCCACGGAAGTGGACAGAACAGTGTTAAGTCATACAAACGACGATTTCTCTGAGGTTCGTAGGCATTTGCGCAGTTTGCGCGACAAGGACTGTACCTGGCGGATCGGTAATAGCGCCATCTACGCTTTTCTTCTGTTGGCAGGCCTTTAGGGTAACACCGTCCACTTTGGCGGGACTACCCAACCATGGCCGGTGCTACCCCAGGCAAGTCGTCCTGGACTTTCAACGATATTGGGCAGATGGAAAAATGAATGATGAATATTAAAAATAAGGTGTAAATTAAATATCCCAACTGCTAATTAGTTGTGTTGTAGCCAAAGACGGCGCCACGATCGCGATGCTGCTAGGACTGCAAAATATTGCCTGGAATTCTCTCCTGTACTCGCCGAGTACATTCCATATCACATGCTTGCAGCGTATGGATATAAGACATTTCTAAGAAAAATAAGAAAACTGACATCGAATTGTGGTATACGTACTACGATACGACTCTCAGTTCCCCAGGCACGGCTGCTATGTTCGCACGCTCTCGTCAGCGCCCATCACGGATCGTCGCCACCACCACTGTCGGGTTTTTGCATTAGCTTTAGAAGGTGAGCAGATAAGGTCCTGCAGCGTTGCATATATTTTCGGTTTTTTTGTTGCACACCTTGAGACATGTTGCAGCTAAGCTTTCGTACCTGTTGTAGCCTTGCGTGGAAGCGTTATTCCATGAGATATTCCGCACCCGGTGCCGTACTAGGGTGGCAATTGGAAGGATAATGTGATGAATTTTCTGTTATGGTTATATTGCAATGCAGTATCATTATACCTGCGAAAAACCCTTCTTTTCAGCAGCTTTGGTGTGATAGTTTTTACTTCAATTAAAGACAGGGTCTGAGCTGGGCCAGGCAGGGGTCACAAAGTGATTTCTCTTAATGTTTCCAGGGCTTAACAAGAAGGTGGAAGTGTGGAACGACACGAAGTTTGTATTACCTTCCTATGCTTTCATTTTCCTTTCTATGTTTCTATTTCTGGTGGCGCAGCCGCAGCACGGCGCCCTGACAACACCGACACAGCCGCAGTACGGTATTCCGGTGGCACCGACACAGCACGGCACCCCGAATACACCGTCACCCAAGAGCCCAATAGAAGACATAGCCCCTCTTCCAAAAGTCTTCTTGCCCCCAAAAAGGCAAAAGTCATCGAAAACAGAGAGGCACATCCCTCTTGATGACCAGCTTCCTGTAAAAAGGCGACTGGAAGAGAAGGTCCACGCGAAAATGCGCTCGACGCCCTGTAAAACAGCAAAAGAAAGCTGAGGGGAACGGAAAAGAAACAGCAAGAAGAAAAGGCCGCTAGAAAGTGTTCTCGGTGCGGATGGCATGTACATGTACTGCTCAGAAGGTGTAACCGGGAAGGATGACGTGTGACTTCTTTGAAGTAGGTTAATGCAAACGTTGAGCACATGAAGCGTGCAGTAACGGGCCCAACACCACAGGGTTCTTTTACGTTGCGACAACATGCGAAATGGACAAGAAATGAATCGGTAGTCCCTGCCGTGAAGAGGATAGGATAAAGGTTTGTTGATTAGCCGTGGAACAGTTGTAATAAGTCAGTATGCTTCGAAGGTGTAACAACTCTGGTATACTTTAAGTCTCAGGATATCTGTCGTAAAAATTACAGTACGAACTCATGTATCACCTACAATTTTAAATATCTAGCCTTGAGAAGAAAAAGGGGTAAATGTGAAATAAGAAAAGCGGGAAGTGTCGAGGCATTTCATACACTTCGGTCGGAAGGATATGAGCTAGCTTAGATAAATTTTTACACCATGAAACACGCAAAGGCTACTCCTCCAGCAAATTTGACGATTCTAAGCGTGTTAGTCAGGCGACCGCGACCATTGCTACACCCCTACGGACTACACCGAGAAACGAAGGGCGGTGTACCTCGCGGTCGGTGCTACCCCACAGTATGGCACAGTTTTTAAAGCTGTTTGAAAATGTAACTAATTTCTACCCGATTTTGAGCACTCTTCAAAAACACTAAGAAAGTTGATGAGTGATAGCAAGCAAATAACCTCCCTGGCATCCTGCACCTCGAACTTCGCCAGGACGTGAGGCAGAAAACAGGAGGTCGGTGCTATCCATTCTTCCCCTACTTTTAAGTGGACAATACCGCTCTAGACAAGACTATGTCTCTACTTAGAAAATGCTATCCTCAATACGCTATTGTCTCATTGCGTCATCATATCTTCCACGATATTTGTTGAGAGTCAATTGACGGCCGTTATGTCTGGAGGGAAAATCGAAGTCACGAACGCCAGATATGAATGACTTGACAATATGTTTACTGGCCTCGGTTGCCGCATGATCAATGGAATGGCAAGATGTCAATGACGTTGCTATGGTTTCATGAATGCCTAGGTGACCTTGAAATAGTCTGCGCAAAAAAGTCTGCACATCTTCGCGAGCAAGAGCAGGTAAGCTTTTTACTGCACTGCACTTCACTGCACTGAACTGTTAATTGCACAGAACGATGTTCAAAATGCTATTTCATGGAATTTCATATTGGTCATTATCCAGCAGCCGGTTGTCACCACTAGGCGGCTAGCCGCCAGTAACCGGCAAGCTGCAACCAAATTAAGGATTAATTGCAGCGTTTCAATTTGATGGCATTTAGCAGCCAATAGGCCAATTTCGCCTTATCTCCCCCGAAATACTTAACCCCCAAATTGCAAGGCCCTGAATGATCTGGAGAAAATAAACGCACTCCATAAATGCACAGATGGTGCGTCATACGCATCACGCCTAGCCTTCTGGGACTGCGTACAGGAAGATGGGTTCTGGTATGAAAAAGTATACATGAAAATTCTTAAGGCCAGTGGACAGAGTCGATCATTCTTTTTTTGGGGGGGGGGGGACAATCTGTTGGGAGGCACGTTATTCCGTGGCCAACCCCCTTGATAAAATCCTGGATGCGCTACCGCCAGTTAGTCAC